TAACCTTACATAACCACACCTGTAACATAGTTAAACATTACCACACCTGTAACACACCTAACCTAACATAACTGCACCTGTAACACACCTAACCTAACATAACCACACCTGTAACACACCTAACCTTACATAACCACACCTGTAACATAGTTAAACATTACCACACCTGTAACACACCTAACCTAACATAACTGCACCTGTAACACACCTAACCTAACATAACCACACCTATAACACACCTAACCTAACATAACCACACTTGTAACATACCTAATCTAACATAAGCACACCTGTAAGATACCTAACCTAACCACACCTGTAACACACCTAACCTAACACAACCACACCTGTAACACAGTTAAACTAACATAACCACACTGGTAACATGCCTAACCTAACATATCCGCACCTGTAACACACCTAACCTAATATATCCACACCTGTAACACACCTAACCTAACATTACCACACCTGTAACACACCTAACCTAACATAACCACGCCTGTAACACACCTAACCTAACATAACCACACCTGTAACACACCTAACCTAACCACACCCGTAACACACCTAACCTAACCATACCCATAACACACCTAACCTAACCACACCTGTAACACAACTAGCCTAACATAACCACACCTATAACACACCTAAACTTACATAACCACACCTGTAACACACCTAACCTAACATACCCAACCTAACCACACCTGTAACATACCTAGCCTAACATACCTAACCTAACATAACCACACCTGTAACACACCTAACCTAACATACCTAACCTAACATAACCACAACTGTAACACACCTAACCTAACATACCTAACATAACCACACTTGCAACATACCTAACCTAACCTACCTAACCTAACATAACCGCACCTGTAACACACCTAACCTAACATACCTAATCTAACATAACCACACCTGTAACATACCTAACCTAACATAACCGCACCTGTAACATACCTAACCTAACGTACCTAACCCAAAATAACCATGCCTGTAACACACCTAACCGAACATAACCGCACCTGTAACATACCTAACCTAACTTAACCGCACCTGTAACACACCTAACCTAACATACCTAACCTAACATAACCACACCTGTAACACACCTAAACTAACGTAACATAACCACACTTGCAACATACCTCACCTAACATACCTAACCTAACATAACCGTACCTGTAACACACCTAACCTAACATACCTAACCTAACATAACCACACCTGTAACATACCTAACCTAACGTACATAACTCAAAATAACCATGCCTGTAACACACCTAACCGAACATAACCGCACCTGTAACATACCTAACCTAACATACTTAACCTAACATAACCACACCTGTAACGCACCTAACCTAACATACCTAACCTAACATAACCGCACCTGTAACACACCTAACCTAACCTAACCTAACCACACCTGTAACACACCTAACCTAACATACCTAACCTAACATAACCGCACCTGTAACATACCTAACCTAACATACTTAACCTAACATAACCACACCTGTAACGCACCTAACCTAACATACCTAACCTAACATAACCGCACCTGTAACACACCTAACCTAACCTAACCACACCTGTAACACACCTAACCTAACATACCTAACCTAACATAACCACACCTGTAACATACCTAACCTAACATACCTAACCTAACATAACCACACCTGTAACACACCTAACCTAACACAACCGCAAGTGTAACACACCTAACCTAACAAAACCACACCTGTAACACACCTAACCTAACATAACCACACCTGTAACACACCTAACCTTACATAAGCACACCTGTAACACACCTAACCTAACACAACCGCAAGTGTAACACACCTAACCTAACAAAACCACACCTATAACACACCTAACCTAACATAACAACACTTGTATCATACCTAACCTAACATAACCACTCCTGTAACACACCTAACCTAACAAAACCACACCTGTAACAGACCTAACCTAACATAACCACACCTGTAACACACCTAACCTAACATAACCACACCTGTAACACACCTAACCTAACATAACCACACCTGTATCATACCTAACCTAACATAACCACTCCTGTAACACACCTAACCTAATAAAACCACTCCTGTAACACACCTAACCTAACATAACCACATCTGTTACACACCTAACCTAACACAACTGCAAGTATAACATACCTATCCTAACAAAACCACACCTGTAACACACCTAACCTAACATAACCACACCTGTAACACACCTAACCTTACATAACCACACCTGTAACATACCTATCCTAACAAAACCACACCTGTAACACACCTAATCTAACATAACCACACCTGTAACACACCTAACCTAACATAACCACATCTGTAACACACCTAACCTAACATAACCACACCTGTAACACACCTAACCTAACATAACCACATCTGTAACACACCTAACCTAACATAACCACACCTGTAACACACCTAACCTAACACAACCGCAAGTGTAACACACCTAACCTAACAAAACCACACCTGTAACACACCTAACCTAACATAACCACACCTGTAACACACCTAACCTTACATAAGCACACCTGTAACACACCTAACCTAACACAACCGCAAGTGTAACACACCTAACCTAACAAAACCACACCTATAACACACCTAACCTAACATAACCACACTTGTATCATACCTAACCTAACATAACCACTCCTGTAACACACCTAACCTAACAAAACCACACCTGTAACAGACCTAACCTAACATAACCACACCTGTAACACACCTAACCTAACATAACCACACCTGTAACACACCTAACCTAACATAACCACACCTGTATCATACCTAACCTAACATAACCACTCCTGTAACACACCTAACCTAATAAAACCACTCCTGTAACACACCTAACCTAACATAACCACATCTGTAACACACCTAACCTAACACAACTGCAAGTATAACATACCTATCCTAACAAAACCACACCTGTAACACACCTAACCTAACATAACCACACCTGTAACACACCTAACCTTACATAACCACACCTGTAACATACCTATCCTAACAAAACCACACCTGTAACACACCTAATCTAACATAACCACACCTGTAACACACCTAACCTAACATAACCACATCTGTAACACACCTAACCTAACATAACCACACCTGTAACACACCTAACCTAACATAACCACATCTGTAACACACCTAACCTAACATAACCACACCTGTAACACACCTAACCTAACACAACTGCAAGTATAACATACCTATCCTAACAAAACCACACCTGTAACACACCTAACCTAACATAACCACACCTGTAACACACCTAACCTTACATAACCACACCTGTAACATACCTATCCTAACAAAACCACACCTGTAACACACCTAATCTAACATAACCACACCTGTAACACACCTAACCTAACATAACCACATCTGTAACACACCTAACCTAACATAACCACACCTGTAACACACCTAACCTAACATAACCACATCTGTAACACACCTAACCTAACATAACCACACCTGTAACACACCTAACCTAACACAACCGCAAGTGTAACACACCTAACCTAACAAAACCACACCTGTAACACACCTAACCTAACATAACCACACCTGTAACACACCTAACCTTACATAAGCACACCTGTAACACACCTAACCTAACACAACCGCAAGTGTAACACACCTAACCTAACAAAACCACACCTATAACACACCTAACCTAACCACACTTGTATCATACCTAACCTAACATAACCACTCCTGTAACACACCTAACCTGTTGTAATGTGTTTTTATGAGGCTGAAGTAAGTCAGTTTCTAATTCGCCAGCTTCTTGTTCGAATTTTCCCGTTCCACCTTAAATGGTGCCTGAGGCGCCAGAATGTAACTGCTGTACCATTTAAGGTGGAACGGGAAAATTCGAACAAGAAACTAACTTCAGCTTTGCAACTTTTTGTTGTTTGATAGTTTCTCATTGCAGATTAAACGTATCAGGAAACCAGCTGGAGTGATTATAAACGCTAATAAGTCCATTAGTCTCCAAATTAATCGATGTCCGTCTTAAATCTCTCTCTTTGCTGTTTCGTTAGCTACTAGCTAGGCGAGACTGTTGTCTGTGTTGCTATGGTGACCAGCAGTCTGCGCTGATCTTCAGGGTTAAAGGGTGAATTAGCAGTTCTACATTAACTCCAGAGTTTAAGACCATTTATTGTTAAACTGTGTTGAACGATCAGCAGAGCTTTATTTTACTGTAAAGGAGGATTATTTTATTTTTACTTACAAATCTGATTCTGCTGTGGAGCCACAACAGGGCAGCAAAAGAGCCGCACGTTGCTGACCCCTGGTATGGAGCAAGGCCTTTCAGGAGGAGACAGGGAGCTTGCAGGTTATAAAATTTGGCTCTCCGGACTTTCAGTGACAGTTTAGGACTGATTTGGTCAAGAATTAATTTGTTTTTGCCATCCAAGTTCCTCTCAAAAGTCTTCAAAAACGACAAAGTTTAAAGCAATCAGTATGTCTGTAGAGACCAGATTTTTTCAGACTCCTTCATCCTTATTCTGCTGATCTGCAACATATGTCTTGATGCTTTTTTGTTAATAACTAATCCAAGGAACCAAAATGTCTCTTATCTTCATCATCAGTGGTAAAGCTAGCTCTCTTTCCCATTTTCATTCTTTATATTGAGCTGTGGTCCTGTCTTTCGACTGTTGGACTTATAGTCTTTTTTAAGCACCCAGTGTACATCAGCAATGATACCCCTTGTTCCACTGCCTTTCCTGAGTCTTGCTTGCACATCTGGCAGTTCTCTTTTAATGTACAGCTCTAGTGCTCTTTAAATGAGCAGCTTTCCTGCTAAATATGAATGTTCATACTTCGTAGGAAAGGCAAACAGCCTCCAGATAGAAAAGAAGCTTATTGACCTCTTTTTCAAATGAAAACCACTCAAATCACACAAAATGTTATTCATAGAAAAGAAACTTTAATTGTACACTCAATCACCTCTTGCGAAACAAACCACACACATTGTCTTCGGTAGAACAGGAAGAGTCCCCTTACTATACAGTGTCTTGGCTATCAGCCAGCTTACATCAGCTCGCAAAATTTCAGGTTGGGAAATGTTAAACTGTCTGAGAGTGACTCGTAATAAGGCTATGACTACTTTTCCTTGGAAAAAAGTGGTTGGCGAAAGCAGAACGGTTGTCTCGTTTTTTCAGTTTCACGTTCTGTCATTCCAACCATACGCAGTAATGCATAAGAGATTGCAAAAAAAAGAGACGGATCTCATACTGAGTGGATTTTACATCGGTGACCACAGCCTGGCACACGTCATCCTGAATCTGGGGTTTATGCAAGCTATGGTTTCAGCTTTGGTTTCCATGCCCTGGATTCTCTAATTTAGTTCTGATATGCTGGGCTCCGATTATAGAGTTAATGAAAGGCTAAAGAAACGTCTTTGAACTGAACAGGTGATGCAGCAGCGTAACTAGAACTTCAGGGGCCTCAGGTATTAAAAAATTACCTTGCAATTTGCTTGATAGTTGCTACTGCTGTGTCATAACCAAGCTGGTGTTGTAATGTAAGCTAATTGTCAATGGTAAGTAGTTATATAAGGGGTCCAATGCAGACATTAATGGGTCCTGTCTCTAAGGGTCCCAGTGTGTTTGGCCCCCCCACACACTGTGCTGAAAGTTAAGCACCTACAAAAGCAGGACAGATTCAGGCTGGTTTAGGTCCAGGCTGTGGGCAGATGAACTGTACTGAATGGGCTGGCGTCAGCGCCGGGCGTTTGTTTAGAGAGGACTGGAGCAAAACAGAAGGCTAGATAAAGAAATAAGAGGAAAAACACGGGTCGGGCTTCTTCTGCCCTGTTGGATCATGGGAAACTGTCGTCGTCGTCTTCTGCCATCTCTTTAGCGAACTCCAGGTCCTGCTGCTCCCTCTCCCTTCGCTCCTGTGGATACAAATAATTAAGCAAAAAAAAACCCTAATAATAATAATAATAATAATAATAATAATAGTAATAGTAGTAGTAATAATAATAATAATAATAAAAATCATCATCATCATCATCATCAGTATGGTTAAAAATGGGTACATATTATGTAAGATTTAAATTTAAATGTAATACAAATCATTTTTTTTAAGTTTTTCAAATAGATAATGCAACATAAATAATGTAAAGTAGAGCAAAAGAGTAAAAAGTAACAAAAAACAAGCAAACAAATAAAAGACCAACTACATTCTTAAAATAAAGAGTTTACATATTCTTCATCTTCTAGATGATGTACAGTCATATTTTTCATTTAAAGTGGCCTGATGATATAAAAAAAGCAGCATGACATCTGAGGTTTACGTTATGTTTATGTCACATCTTATTCCGTGAGTTTATTGGCTGGCTGTAAAGCAGAAACCTGATTACTGTCTGACTCAAGTAGACCCAGTTTCCCCATTATCTGATTACTCAAGAGCATGAAAATAACACTGAACCAGTTACTGACACGATCAGAGCAGTTCTCAGATTATTAAGTGCATGTAAACACTCTCAGATTTCAAACCGGGCTGCTTTTGCAGCTTCTGTGTCCGTTTATGAAGCAGGAAATGAACTGTATGTTTTGATACCAACAATGTTGACATACATCATCACACTCTTCTTATATTCATTGCTTTACTTTTATTTTATATTTAAAAAGTAAGGAAAGTTCCGTGTTCCATGATTTGGGCCCTTGAATAGTTTGCAAAAAAAAGGCAAGTGATAATCTTTGAGTCCTAAGACCTACCTCTTAAAAAGAGCTTCTATTTTCAACCACTAGTTGGACATAGAACCATTTCATGCTTAAATGGTTCTCCAGACTGATTGAGATTTTGTTGCACACTCTTAAAAAAGATGGTTCTTCAAGGACTTTTAGCAAAGAAAATGGTTCTGTATTAGAACCATGAACTCTCAAAGAACACATTGCATGATTAAATGGTTCTTTGCATCATGAAAGTTTTCATCATATTAATGGAGAACTGCTTTAAATGGTTCTATACAGAACCTTTTTGAAAAGGATTTCATATTGCACCAAAAAGGGTTCTTCTTTTGTTATGATATCAAGCATGACATAGTAGAACCATTTACAGCACCTTCTCCATCAATCTGAAGAACGCTTTCTCAATGCAAAGAACTAGAAAGAATGCAAAGGGTTCTGTGAGAGTTCATGGTTCTACATAGAAACATTTTCTTTAAAGAGCCCTTGAAGAACCATCATTTTTAAGGGTGTATATGGTTCTATATACCACTAAAAAGGGTTCTGCTATTATATACAAGCTTGACATTGTAACAACACCAGAAGTCTTTTGGTGCTATAAAGAACCATATACAACACATTCTCCATCAATCTGAGGAACCATTTGCATGCTTACATGGTTCTTCGCATGGTGCAGCAGAAGCCTTTTTGGTGCCCTATAGAACCATACACAGAATCATTTTCTTTACTAAAGAACCCTTGAATAAGTATCATTTTTTTTTTTTTTACCCGATTTTCTCCCCAATTTAGTCGTCTCCAATTCCACCCGCTAGTTAGGACTCCCCCAGTCACACCATGCTATCAACGCTAGGAGGGTGAAGGCTAACACAGGCTTCCTCCGATACCTGTGAAACCACCGCTTCTTTTCGAGCTGCCGCTTACGCAACGTCACTGGACAGCCGAACGCGCTCGGAGGAAAGCGCCAACCGCCAGATCTGTTACGTCAGCTAACAGACGCCTGCGCTGACTAGCATCGCGCTGAGTGATGGGGGGAGAAGGAGGGGCCATCCTACCCACCCAGAGAGAGCGAGGCCAACTGTGCTCTCTTGGACTCCCGGCTACGGACGGCTGCAGCATCACCAGGGATCGAACTCGCGATCTCCTGATGAGAGGGCCAACGCTTAGACGGTTGCGCCACTCGGGAGCCCGGAAAGAATAAGTATCATTTTTGATGCTATACAGAACCATATACAACACTTTCACCATGCAAAGAACCATGTAAGAATGCAAATGGTTCTTTTAGTGTTCAAGATTCTATCTAGAACCACTGTCTTTACTAAACAACCCTTGAAGAAGGTAAAACGGTTGTGTGTTTGTAAACGACGCAGCAGAGACGGTTTGTGGTTCCCAGGTCTTAAACTCTGGACTTTAATGGGAAGAGAGTGTGACTTGTTACCTCTGCAGACTCCAGGTCTTTATTGTAAGCCTTGGGTGGAAACCTCATGGCCTGTGGAGAGATTACAGAACAATTTATCACCAGGAACCAGTCCCTGGAAACCATAGCCACATCTGTGGAGAACATCTGGAGGATGCACATGAATGATTACCACAAAAAAACAAACGTAGCTGTATTTATTTGCTTATATTGTTTATATTCCTACATTAAACAAAAGTACACTCATTCACCTGCTTGTGTGTTTTTTCTTTAGGTCATAAAACAATGTGTTCATGTAATAAATAACTTGGCGTACCTTGACAGACATGTTGTGGATGTCCAGACAGAAGGAGATGCGCTGATGGAAGGCCAGCTGAGGCTCGCGAGTGCCGTATATGTCCATGGTCTCCTTCGACTGAACGTAGCCTTTCTCATGGTTTATACTGGCTTCGATCACTCCGTCACGGATAGCCTGCAGATTCACACATGATTCGGAAACATGGTGGTGTGCTTGGTTGGGGCTCTGTGTTATTTTCGGTAACACTTTATTTTGAGTGGTCCTTTGTAGATGATTAATAAACTCTTAAAGGAGCATCAGTAACACACCAACAACATATTAGTGAAGTAGCAGCAGTGCAGCAGTGAACACTGTGGTAAACATATTAAACATATACTGTTAATACATTACATCTACTTTACGTACGTAATGTTATATAACATGAAGTAGACTTCATATGTTGCTTCCTTTGAGCAAAACCCAACCTTAACCAACCTTACTCAAAACCTAATACTCACCCTGGCCCTACTCCCAACCCAAACCTTAACCGAAAACGAATCCTAACCCTCAGTCTGGCCCTAATCCTAACCTTAACCTCAACCCAAAACCTATTCCTAACCCTCACCTTGGACCTAATCCTAACCCTAAATATAACCAAACCCTACTCTGGTGAAGCTCCAGGTACAGAATGGTGTCAGTCTCTGTGTTTACAGGCAAAGGTTTTTGCCAATCTGATTAAATACATTCCGATTATAGATTAAGACTGAGGTGGTTATTCTCACTCTACTCAACAGTCTGATGAAAATCTCTGTTTACATGCTCACTACAAGTAATCAGATCCACAATTCCGTGCATGTCTAGAGAACCGCTTAGTGTAGGCGTTACCATGACAACCAGCATCACGTGAGTCCAGTCAGAGTGAGATGAGCAGCAGTGAGCAGTGCTTGTGTTTTTAATTACTTTAAAACGATGTCAGACTCAGGAAAACGTCCTTCACATGTCCTTATTAAAGAAGGCCGAAAGGAGGACGTCGTGTTCTGAGACACATAAGATGGACGTCCGTCCCACCGCCGTCTTTTAAAGATCAGAGCATAAACTTCGTCTCCTCTGCAGACCAGTTTCTGCTCCGCCATGTTGAACGGTATAAACTTTCACTATGACGCGACGAACATGATCAGAACAGACTTAAACTTTCCGATAGGGAATGTAATCAGATACAGGCGTTTACACGGATATTATTCTTCTATTTAACTGATTATTTACAGGATTACCCACCTCGATCAGTCGGATAGAAACTGCATTCCAAATGGCCTCAATCAGACTAGACTATTCCGACTGAGTTGTTTACATGGACGTATTCTATTCCGATTGAGCTATTAGTCAGATTATTAATGGATTATCAGGCTGCATGTAAACGTGAATAATGTATCTGTAACAGATTGTTGAGGATGTTGATGGTCTGTATTAAACCAGTTAATGTTGAGTTCCTCTCAGTTAAACATCTACAGATCCTTGGACTCCAAATAAAGTAAAAAAAAAAAAACAAAAACAAAGGAATTTAGCAGATTATAAACATTACTATTTACATAGTTAATTAAAAGTTTACTGATAATCTACTGATTGTTTTCACTGCTGCTACATCACTGATATGTTGTTGATGTTACTGAGAGTCTGTTGAGTGATTATTTCATCTTTATTGTCTCTTCATTTCATTACCTTGGCCACGATGAACTCTGCGTCCTCAGGGCTGTCCAGCTGCAGTTTCTGAGCGATGTCGGCCAGTGAAATGCGGGAATATGACAAGCTGATCATTCTCACACCTGTACAGAAGAAACGCATCACATTACACACTGTCTAACCGAGCATTTGTACAGTGAAGGTTTTATTAATTCATTTCCAGTGATATCAAAACCTGCCAACGCAAATAACCCTTTAAGGGGTCAAAATCCCAAAATATGCCCTCATTCCAAAAGCAGCCCAGGCTAAAACACTCCTTTTAACTTCAGTCTGAAAGGGTGGGGCTAACCTGCTGTAGGCTAAACAGGCAGATATACATGTTTATTTTTGTGACATCACAAATACAATAAATTAACAAAGGACCATTTTTGTTGCTGGACTATATGGATCAGTGAACAGTTGAATTTTGTAGCTTTAACAGTGTTTACATATTACATCAACTCATTCGTTGTAAATAAAGTGAGAAAAAGTGGCTGCCCATCATCATCTCTGATGTGGTAACTCTAGACGGGAAACGGAAAACTTTAATGTATGTAAATTTTAGAAAGATTTTTCTCTCAAGTCATTTTGACTTATTTCTATTGTTCCACTCATCATTAAATGTTCAAAGGGCAGCTGGTTATTGTGATGTGACAGTGATATGACATTATTTAGCATTTCACATTTTTTATTTACTTTAATTATACTCAAATGGGCTTTCCACTGATTTTTCTAATTCCATTTAAAAAAAATGTCTATATTTGTGTTGTAGTCATGGCGACCCCTGGTTCCCATCACCACTACTGTAAAGACATCTGAACCACTTCACACCAAACCACTCTGAATCTCTCTGATTACATCTTAAACACCGAATTACACAATTTTAGAAAAAATGGTGGAATTCCCCTTTAACGTACATAAAAAGCAGGCTGTGACGAACATCTCTGAGTTTGAAGTTTAATCAGCCACAGCAGTGAGGCTGATATTTCAATTAATTAAGAAAATACAGAAGGAGCTGTATTTAGTGAGCTGCACAGTCACCTGTTTTGATCACATTGTGTCGCAGGCGGATGATGAGCGTGTAGGTGCCGTCGGTCTGAAACTTCTCTCCAAACTGATCCAGGACCTGGTTAAACTTGGCCAGATTCCCAGTCCTCACCGCTGAACACAAAACAACACAAAGAAGATGCATGTTAACTACTAAAGTGCCAAAGAAGAGTGAGCTAAGCTCTAAGGAGAGGAGGACGCCTACCCCTGAGAGAGAAGAGGGGGGACAGTTGCTCCGAAAGAGAGAGGAGAGGGGGACATTTACCCCGAGAGACAGAAAAGAGGGGGACGTTTACCCCGAGAGAGAGAGAGGAGAGGGGGACATTTACCCCGAGAGAGAGAGAGGAGAGGGGGACATTTACCCCGAGAGACAGAAAAGAGGGGGACGTTTACCCCGAGAGAGACAGAAAAGAGGGGGGGACGTTTACCCCGAGAGAGAGAAGAGGGGGACGTTTACGCTGAGAGAGAGAGAGAGAGCGAGCGAGAGAGAGAGAGAGAAAAAAGAGGGGGATGTTTACCCCGACGGACAGAAAAGAGGGGGACATCTTCCCCGAGAGAGAGAGGAGAGGGGGACGTCCACCCCGAGAGGAGAGGGGGACGTCTTCCCCGAGAGAGAGAGGAGAGGGGGACGTCTACCCCGAGAGAGAGAGGAGAGGGGGACGTTTACCCCGAGAGAGATAGGAGAGGGGGACGTCTTCCCCGGAGAGAGAGGAGAGGGGGACGTCTACCCCGAGACAGAGGAGAGGGGAATGTCTACCCCGAGAGAGAGGAGAGGGGAATGTCTACTCCGAGAGGGAGAGGAGAGGGGCATGTCTACCCCGAGAGAGAGGAGAGGGGAATGTCTACTCCGAGAGGGAGAGGAGAGGGGGATGTCTACCCTGAGAGAGAGAGGAGAGGGGAATGTCTACCCCGAGAAAGAGGAGAGGGGAATGTCTACCCCGAGAGAGAGAGGAGAGGGGGACGTTTATTCCGAGAGGGAGAGGAGAGGGGGATGTCTACCCTGAGAGAGAGAGAGGAGAGGGGAATGTCTACCCCGAGAGAGAGGGGAGAGGGGAATGTCTACCCCGAGAGAGAGGGGAGAGGGGGACGTCTACCCTGAGAGAGAGAGGACAGGGGGACGTCTACCCTGAGAGAGAGGACAGTGATGTTTACCCTGAGTGAGGAGGAAGTAGGGCATGAGAGATCTCTTCAGAGACGGCTGGCGGAACTGGAGCCGGTCCGGAATCTCCCCCAGTAACAGCTCCACTACTATCAGCAGCTTATGCACCTGGAAGAAGACAAAGAAAGAAACCTTCAATGTCACTCAATTCAATTATATACATTCCTTAAATGTGTACTATTCACTAAAAATCACAATAAAGAGTCACTCGCAAAAGTTTGGGCAGCCCTGGTCAGATAACATTTTATTGCTTTTATATGCGCAAACAAGTCAACACATCATTTACACATTTTATTGCACAAGTACTGATTATATGGACATAAAAAAACGTATTAAAAATGCATAAAAAAAAATGCCAATTTTATATTTTTTGTTTATTTAAACTCAGCAAATAAACAAATAAAAAACTGCCATATTCAAGCTTGTTCAGTGTAGATAATATTATTTTCAGATAGAAAATCAACAAAATATGGAATTTGATCAGTGTCCTGTCCCAACTGTGCCAAAATGTCAAAAAAGGTAGCCAATCAACCAAGAATGTTTATTTATATAGCAGCTTTCATACATTAAAAATGCAGCTCAAAGTGCTTCACAATACAAAGCAAAAACAACAGAGAAAGAATTGAAAAAAAAAACAAAACAAAAACTAATAAATAATAAATAGTAGAAAATGGTTATATATATATATATATATATATATATATATATATATATATATATATAAAAACAAGATAAATGTTTGAATAAAAAAGGAAAGAGGTTTGTCCGAAATGTGCTTTCAGTTTTTCACTGGAGCTACAAAGTTAAAGTGATGACTGCAGTTAGCGCCATGCTAATTGGTGGAGTATATGCTTCCATTACTTGTTAGCTACGTTAGCCTTGTAGCTCTGGTGTTCAAACTAAAGAAATAAACTTCAGACACCAAACATGTCTTAGCTGATCAACTACAACTACATAAGAGAGAGAGCTGCATACATTGATATGTGCCTTAAGTCCTCAGTTGAGCGGCTGCTAGTTATACATAACGTGAGACACCTGTAAAGCAGATAAAGGGTCAGTACAGGTCTGACCTCTTCATTACACTCACAGTTTGTTTGAAACCCACGGCGGTGTGCTGGGGGGCTTTGCGTAGTGCATTGGTCAGAGTCCTCCGGGCTTCAGAATACTCCAGCTGGATCGCCTTAATACGTCCTGCAGAAAAACAACATTTACTCAAACAGCACAGTACAACACAGAAAGTACTGACAGGCACTATTAGAGGTTAATCAGTTACAGTGATGACCACACAGATGCTGTGTGGGGTCCTTCCAGCTTTTTCACTTACAGAAAATTAAGAAAACTAGAAAAAAAAGTCTCCAGGTTTAAGGACACAACTAACAGTAAATCTACTGACTGTTATTTTATCATAAACATTATAGATTCTTATAGAGGCTTTTTAAATGAAACAGTAGAAGCCATATCGCCCCCTACACTTCCTGTACTGTATTACAGTCTGTCAGTGACTGTGTGGATCATATGAACATTATAGAGGCTTTTTAAATGAAACAGTAGAAGCCATATCGCCCCCTACACTTCCTGTACTGTATTACAGTCTGTCAGTGACTGTGTGGATCATATGAACATTATAGAGGCTTTTTAAATGAAACAGTAGAAGCCATATCGCCCCCTACACTTCCTGTAGTGTATTACAGTTTGTCAGAGTGACTGTGTGGATCATATGAACATTATAGAGCTTTTTAAATGAAACAGTAGAAGCCATATCGCCCCCTACACTTCCTGTAGTGTATTACAGTGTGTCAGAGTGACTGTGTGGATCATGTGAACATTATAGAGGCTTTTGTTTTTAGGTAAACAATGTTTTAAGGCTTTTTTCCATAATCAATACTGTTATTGACCAATTAACTGACCTGTATAGTAGAGGTAGCGAGCCCACTCGTTGTTGTTGGCCAGCTCTGGGAAGACTGATTTGGACACCAGTTTCTCAGCCTGGTCGTACAGGTTGTACTGCAGGTAGTTGCGCAGCAGCAGGTTCAGGAGTGTAGCCTGGCCGTCTGAATCGTGTCGTAACGTGGCCGTCCTCAGGCGCGTGTGCAGGAAACTGCCACAGTTACAGAGAAAGGACAATTCTCATTTTCCCACACAAAACATCACAATGTAAATTAATAACGACCTGCACAAGAGAACTATTCCTGAATAACTACCTGGAGGGCTGAACAGAAGCCAATATATTACCAGGAAACACAGAGACGTCTCGATTTTGGTGGCAGGACTTTTTTTTGTGTTTTTGCACTTGAGTTTTCAGTTTTGTGAGTAAAAATGGGGAATTTTGTATTATTCTAGTGTTGTACTGCTCGAGACAAGTGGCAAGAAATGCACGTTTTGTGGGAAGCACAATGATACTGGAATCTTATCTGCATCAGCAGATATCTGCTTTAACAATATAACAATATTACATTATAATAACAATATTAATATCAGCATTGGACAGATCTTTAAATCTGACCCATGTGATGTATTCACTGAACACACACATACACGTATACATGCATACATACATACATACATATATATACATATATATATATATATACATATACATATACATATATATATATATATATATATATATATATATATATATATATATATATATATATGACATTATAACTACACTATAATTCTGCATTTCCGACAGTGATGGTGACTTGCAGGAGTGCAAACACTGGCGTTAAAGTTACGCTGGTAATGTATTACATTTTGAGTGTGAAACTAATATGGTTATCAGTAATCTTATCACTCCCACTACGGCTTGACGATATGGACTTCAAACGTGATGTTCGATAAAGCTGTGATATCACAATGACGAAATGAGAAGCGATAAATTATTATTTAAATCTGACTGGACGAGTTTCAAGTACAGACATTTTTTACCTGTGTAAACAGAAATGTAACTAATCTCCCCTTTTAAGCAAATAGCAAAATACTAAGTTACAAAAGCTCACTATTGTGCAAAATTAAAAAAAAATGAAATACTAAAAGCTGCTAACATCAGAACTGAGAGCACATTTTATATGCACTGAAAGGCTGGAGCACAGTCAGCACAACCAGTAGCTTTTTTTAATAAAGGATTCAAAAACAAAATCTCTTTTATATGGGCACCCAAGAACGAATATTTAAATATGTGTGTTGTGACAGCAGCCATTTACTGCCTCGCACATTTAAAACTCTCAATCCTAATGTTTGGAGTGTTAAACAGGCGTGTAGAGTGTTTGAGCTGCTGTGTGTGTTTGGTAATTGGCTGTATAGCTGAATGGTTAAGTTACTTTTGTCCTGTGTGGGACAGCAAAGTTCAATCCCAGCACAGAGAAGCTCTCATCAGGCTTCTAACGGTTTGTGTTGTAATATAAAGTAATGACGTCACATGCTCAGGTTTTGGCTAAAATAAACTTATTGACACTTAAAAATTTTGACAATTAAAACTTTTGACAACTGAAAGTCCCTGAAAAAGAAGAAGTCCAAATTGGAAGAGAGATTCTAATTTAAATAGTGCTGTCAGAAAAAATAATCTTTTTTTTATTATTATTTATCTACCAGCTATATGTTATATATACACAGTGTTTATATTCCACTACTGTGTAAACAGATCCTCCACTTGTGTATTCAGTGTATTTTAAAACATATAAAAACAGCAAAAATAATCTGAATCAAATTGTGGTCAAATTTGTTTCCTAAAGAATCGTAATCGAATCACTGTGAGCTCAGAGATTTACAGCCCTCAGGGTTGCCCACCTGCGCACGGCGTCCAGCTGGTTGAGAAACTCGTAGACGCGGCAGTGGTAGTAGTAGCACTTTGCCGCCACCAGATCCAGAGCTCTGCGGTTCTGAGAGCTGATCTTCTGCAGGAGGTCATCCGACACCTTCTGAGCCTGAAACACACAAGGATGTAGTCACTTACAGAAGCTCACAGAACCCTGGAAGACTTTCAAACTCTTCAACATCAGAATTTTATACTACTACACAACAACATGGGGTGAGTCATTAACTAAGATCACACATAAAAGTACCAAACATATCAGGGAAATATGCTGAGCATGTACACTGCCCATGAAAAGTTTGGGCACACCTAGCTTTTCAAAATGTATTTTAATAATGTTCCCTTTGTCCGTTAAAAGCCTCATCAGGTTTATTTGAAAGAATATCATACTTGTTACTATTTGCGTTTAACTTCTGGTTAAAGGTGCAGTGTGTAAAATTTAGGGGGCTCTATTATCAGAAATATAATATAGTAAACAAAACCATGTGTTCATCAGTGTATGATCAGCTGTAACTATGAACTGTTGTGTTTTTGTTATCTTAGAAATGAGCCCTTCATATCTACATAGGGAGCAGCTCCTCTTCTAACAGAGGCCGCCATGTTGCGCCGCTATGTTTTTAGAGTAGCCCAGAAACCAAACACTGCCTCTAGAGGTTGCGTTTTGCATTTTTACGCTGAAGCAGCAGCTTGAATTTGGTGGCGCTGAAGCTTCGGCTGGAAGACGTAGAAAGAAGAAGAATCAGTGGCTGCTGGTGCTGCTGACCATTTTGTCTTGTGAGAAGTTTCAGGGCCCAAATTTTGACAAAAGGAGGATCAGCCTTATTATTTAGCAGAAGAAAAAGTGAGAGAGGGTGAATCGTCACCGTCAAAGAAGAGAAAACATGAGGAAGAAAAACAAAATCAGAACAGACGACAGCAGAAAAACTGACGGCCACCATAGGTTCTACTACACTCTTGGAAAGGGAGGGGTGAGGGAAGGGGATTCAGCTGGGTGCAGTCTGCAACCTCACCACTAGATGCCACTTAATCTCACACACTGCACCTTTAAATGTTCTTTACTTTTTACATTGTTTCACTGTAAATCCTTCAGTAAACACTTCAAAGCCTTAAACTCAATATTAATAAAAGATCCTGAGCTGATCAGCCTCGTTCCAGCTGTTGAGAAAATAAGTTTAAAAAGAACCGGGTCATTATGTAGGGTATGTTTAGCACCTTTTCAGCCCTTTGCTTCATACAAGTTGATGCCTGGCCCTGTCTATCATTACGCTCAGCAACATATCAGCGCATTAATGCGAGGCGCTCACGTGTCCACATATACAGTATTTTACAACGGATTCAGCCAATCAGATTTCAGGAGCAGAAGTATGTGTTTGATTTTGATGTCAGCCTGGTTATTCGGTGTTGACGCAGCCCTTTAAAACACTCACCTCAGTGTAGCGCTTGTTGTTGGTGAGATAGACCACCAACAGGAGCTGAAGATAAGCCTCCACTTCAGGGATCAGAGGGGTGGCCGCCGCTTTACCAGTACGAGGCCTGAACTGCACGTCTCCCTCAGTGTCCATGGGCTGGGAGAGAGAGAGAGAGAGAGAGAGAGAGAGAGAGAGAGAGAGAGAGAGAGAGAGAGAGAGAGAGAGAGAGAAATTTAAATAAAAAAAACAAAACAAAACACACAATATACACAAATGAGAACCCGCTCATTTTTTAAAAAAAGATGGTTCTTTAAGGGTTCTTTCGTAAAGAAAATGAAACCATAAAGAACCATGAACACATCAAAGGGTTTTCTGCATCATGAAAGGGTTCTTCAGACTGATGGAAAGTGTGCTGTAGATGTAGTTTTTTAAAAAGGGTTCTATATAGCATCCAAAGGGGTTCTTCTATTGTTACGGTGTTATTATTACATATAGAATGGTCTACAGCACATTCACGCACTTTTTTAATCAATCTGAAGAACCTTTTCATGAAGCAGAGAACCCTTTAATCATACAAAGAGTTCTTTGAGCGTTGGCAGTTCTACACAGAACCATTTCCTTTACTAAAAAAACATCTTTTTTAAAAGTGTGTAGATTTAATCAGTGTAAGGCCATACTGGAGCTGGACTGCTTTTACCCGAGGAGGGTCGCCACATAATTTGTGTGCAATTTGATTGGCCGATTTGTATGGAATAAAGGTTCTGGGTCATTTCCAGACAGCCCGGATCAAAACATCATAGCCCGGACGCTTGCGGCCCAACAGGAAAGAAACCTCACTGCTAAACATTTCACCACTAAAATTAATTTCTCTCTCTTTTTTTTACCTTTATTAGTCCCACAACAGTGAATTTTCACCTCTGCATTTAACCAGTGAAACACCACATGCACACTAGTGAACACACACACTAGGGGACAGTGGGCACACTTGAGCAGCAGTTGGGGGTTAGGTGCCTTGCTCAAGTGCACTTCAGTCACATACTGTTGGCTCAGGAGATCGAACCGGCGACCACAAGGCTGGTTCCCTAACCTCCAGCCCACGACTGCCCTGTCATTCTCCTTCTAATTAGTTAATCACCAAATATGTTGTAGATACGAGTGGGCCTGTCACGATCACAACATTTTAACCAACTTAATTGGCAAAAAAAAGGAATTAATAATGATTTAACTGCCTTTTCTGGTTCATTGTATGCATTTAAGGTGGTAAAATTGGCTTATAAGCCATCCCGCCTCCTAGCTGTGTTTAATATATAGATAACACCGGTTGTGCTGTTGAACTGGTGCACCACATTCCAGAGAGTGAAAACAACAGCGTGAGAATCAGGCCTGAAACAGACTCAATGCAAACATGTGAATGCAAACGACAGCACTCGGCCAACACGCTGCACACGCTCTGCCCTTCTGTACAAACTCACTGCTCTATTGAAAAATCTACCGATATGTCCACATATGCCCCCGGGGCAAAGCGCCATTAGGGGCGGGTACCAAAGCTTTGACTGACAGTAACCAGCCAGTGCTGTGATTGGATAAGTCAAACTCGCTTTCTGATTGGACCAGTTCAAGCTTTCCTATTGGTCCATCAGTTTGCCATCAAAACAGGGTCAAAAATCCGTAGTCGTAAAGAAGTTCACACAAACAGAAACAGAGAGGCGTTTGCGGATTTGTACTGTCACACTGAAAAACTCCCGCTGTCACACTTGGAACTTCAAACGTTTCACGTGATTTTATGGTCGGGCACAATGTAAATCATTTGAGTAGTACTGATTCTTTATTACACATTCAAAAATCCTTTCTACATATTCAAAATATTTTTACACATTTGTTAATTTGATTTATTACTCTTTTTTTTGGTTTCATATTTGCAGATTCCAAATTATTTGTGAATCTGGATTTTGCGTGTATGTAGCTGCTCAAACACAACTGCAAATTTCAGTACATTTGTGAATATCGTTTTACAAGCTCAAAATCTTTTTGACCCTTTTTGACTCCATACATATGATACTGTGGCAGTTGAAACACTCAGTTCTGAAGGGGGCGCTAGAGGACAAATCAGAGAGGATCTGCTGTTATTCAGTAGAGACAGTAGAGGAGACTGAGCTGCTTTACCTCTTCTGCTGGAATGAAAAGGCCATAATGCATCATATTTTTACTGCTTGTCTGCTGTGGCAGTTGAGAAGCAAGCTGGCAGTACGAGACCGCTTGGACAGGCCTGGCTGTCATTATAGCGCCCCCTGCTGTGACATTCGGAATGCAGCTCATGCTTGCATTGTTATGAAATGCATTGTGACACATTTTTGAACGCAACTACACATGAAACCCTGTCTGCGTAGCTCGAACCTGCGTTCACGTCCTTGTGTGAAGTATGTTTCGGCCTTAGCTTAACATTACTCAGCACTGCGTTCTAAACATGTTACAGCACCAAATTATTAGTTAGAACTGTTTCATGTCCCAAGTTGTGTCTCAATGAATGCATTTCACTGCTGTCGAGACAAAACCTCATATCTCCAAAATGTAAGTCAATGGAACCAGAATTTTTTCCAAGTTATTTTGGGCCGGTTCTTTTGGTCCATTCATCATGAAATTTACACACAATGTAAAGGAAACAGGCATTTTTAAAGTATGTAAAAACTGAAAAACAACCGAATCATCTGAACTTTAAACCACTACATTTGTTTGTAGCGGTTTAAAGTTTGTGACGCCACCCTAGCGCCTCCTCTGTAAAGTGCTGTTTGCTGTACCTCCTCCAGGAAGCCGAGCAGGAACTCCTTGCTGGCGGCGTTGGAGGTGTAGAAGCCCGAGATGGCTTTGTGCAGCACGTTGAGGTTGAGGCGGCGGCTGGTGGAGGGCAGAGCTCGCAGCGCACGCAGGACAAACCGCGGCTCCTTACCGGACACGGCCTTCTCGATCTGCTTCACATGCTCACGGATATCTGCAGAGGGAGGAACACAGGGGTTTACTGCCTTCTGTCAATCATCCCTGCCCAATCCTTCAGTGACTGTACATAATCCATACGTTACAGATGGACGAATAGTTTGTAAACATGTGGACGTTTAACTTTATTTCTTCATAAACATCCACAGTCTTTGAACCGGTGTATGCTGCTTTAACCTGTCAACTGTCACCCTATTTTTGTCTGAAACAGCATACCCAAAGTAAAGGGGACGCTGTTCCCACATACTTGCTACAGTCTTGATTTCGGTCTCATTTGAAAGGTAACATCTCAAGTTTTTCAGAATACCCGTATGAATAACTGACTCAGAGTAACAGAGTTTAGAACGGAGAAGTTTATTTCCTCCTGACTCGCAGATCCCTAAACTGATCTCTGACTCCTGCCGTGTTATCAGTTATCATGTTTTGGATTATGGCATCTCTGTGGAGGCGGAGAGGCTTTGAAAGTGAGGACACGCAGATTTACTGGCATTTGGTCTCATTCAGTGCTGATGTTGCAAATGAGACATTATAACTGCTGTTAATAACGGACCTTAAAAAAAGTTCGTGGGAAATCGAATCCTGAGCTTTCAAGCTTTCCGGTGGTGTGAAACGCTCCCTTCTAGAGAAACTTACTGTGTCAGAACTGTTCACAGTGGTGGTGATAGGAACCAGACGTCCACCTCTAAAAGCTCCCTCAGAGAAAGTTACTACATGAAATGGTTATGAATTCACTGCCTGATGACTGAGACACTGTTTTACGATAGCTGGTGGTTCTGGATAGTAAATAAAATGTCTATATCTGTGTTGTAGTCATGGCGACCCCTGGTTCCTATCACCACCACTGTAAAGACATCTGAACCATTTCACACCAAACCACTCTGTTTACATCCCGAACACTGATTTATGCACAAATTTTGAAAAATCGGTGGAGCTCCACTTTAAATGATAAGGTCCAAGAGAAAAACTACTCCTTTGGGACGTTCGGTGAGTGTTATTGCAGCATTTCCCGACACAAAGGCTAAAATTGTCTGCTGATGTATATTTCGTTCAATTTTGACAACAGCTAACTTCAAACTTAAAAACATTTCTTATTGTTATAAATAAATCTGACATGCAAAGCCACTGATGTGACATCACTCTTTTTCTAAAGAACCTTCAATCTTCACTTAAAAAAATATCTTTTGTTTATCAAACTGCCCATAATAATGATGATGATCGCATCTCTACGGGATTCCAGCGTTACCACACTGTTTTTTTTTGATGCCTAATTCCAGGGGTGCCCAAAGTCTGGCCCCTGGGCCAAACGAAGGATCATAACTGGCCTAAGACTTCTGTCTTAGATTGCATTTTATATATTTATAGTACCTGTCCATATATATGTATGGGTATTTGTGTGTGTGTGTGTGTGTGTATGTGTGTGTATATATATATATATATACACACACACACACACACACACAAATAGATACATATATAGAAAACAAATGAATACGTAAAAAAATTTAAAATCCGTGCCTCAGGCATCAGGCAGTGAATTCATAACCATCTCATGTAGGAACTTTCTGTGAGGAGCTTTTAGAGGTGGACGTCTGGTTCCTATCACCACCACTGTGAACAGATCTGACTCTGCAAGTCTCTCCAGAACGGAGCGTTTCATACCAAACCACTCTGTTTACATCTTAACCATCTATTTATGCAGATATTTAAAAAAAAAATGGTGGAGTTCCCACTTTTTAAGTTAGCTTCTCATTCAAATTTTCCGGTCCACCTTAAATAGCGCATCAGTTACTGCACCATTTAAGGTGGAACGAAAAATTCGGACGAGAAGCTGGTGAATAAGAAGCTATGTTCAGCTTTGTCCCTCCAGCGTGATCAGCGCCCCTCTCCCGCCCTCCGGCCCCGGCTGTGTTGGCGCTATATCTGGTGTTATTGTCGGGTTTCTGACCCTCCAGGGTGTTCAGGTCCTGCCTCCCGCTCTCCTCCTCCGGCTGCTCGGGCTCGGGCTCCGCCGCCGCGCTCTCGGGCCCCGGCTCCTTCTGCTTCTCCCCGCGGCTCTCCCGAGCCCTGTCGCGCTTCTTCGCGGTCAACTCCTTCATCACGAAACGAAATCCGGAGCTTAATTCAACCCTCCGAGTAAAATAACCCCGAAATAAATACCACAAATCACCCCGAAACGCCGCGCACTGACCCGGAGCCGAACGCACAGCTAACGCTAATGCTAACGCAGAATGACTGGACACTCTTCAGGAGCAAAGCAGTGTGGGCCGAGGACAGGCATAATAATCAGCCGGAGAGCAGCGGAACAGGCAGAGGTGCGGATTACCGAGAAACGGATCTACGGCTCACAACAACAAAACTATGAGAAATAAAAAATAAACAAAAGAGAACAAAATAAATGAAAAAAAGGGAGAAAAAAACGAACGGAAAAATGTGTGCGATTATATGAATATAATTCTCATCACTGTGTTTTATAATACATAAATTACTCACATATTTAAAAAAAAAAGTCAATGGCTTAAAAAAACAGAACAAAAATAAGAAAAAGTAATAAAAATAATAAAAAATAAGCAAAACAGTACAAAAAATTTTAAAAAAATAAAGAAAAACAAACTATCTAAAAATATATATAATGTTCACCTATTATTATTATTATTGCATTTTACAATTAATAAATAGATAATAGTGCATCATAACATTAACGTAACCATATAGTATAATATAATACATTATACTATACTAAAATATAATATAATGTAATATAGTGGTTGTGTTGTGTTGAACCAGGTTTTGTTTAATCATGCTAATCACATTGAAAACAATAAATTATAAATGAGCCAGCACACAAAAATTTTAGACTCAAATGTAATAAATTATAAAAAGTAATAAAAGACCGAACGTCATCATAAGTCATCAAATTATAAGTTAAATTCAGAAAAAAAAGCCTCTGCTGGTCATTCCGAGTTAATTAGGCACTCGGATGATTGTATCGACTATTATAATGAATAAATAGGGGTTATGATTGTGTTACATTTGATAAGTAATGAATCAAGATTACAGCAGATAACAATAAACGAAAGTCCTCCGCTCCGGCAGGTGGCGCTGTGGACACAGCAGCGACTCTTCGGGGAAACAACACATACATCAACGGAGGGAAATTTAACCACGAAAGTTGTACGCAAATCTGTCTTTCTCCAAACAAACTGAGCAGTAGACGGTTTATAGACGGTGTTACATGCAGAAAAGCACAGGACCTCCTCTCCGGGCTCTCCGTGACTTCTCTGATGCTTTTTGTGCTGTTAATCTGTGCGGACTGGCTGCTAAAGATAACAGAGCACTCACATCAGCGCATAATCCGAGGTTAGACAGAAACTATGCCTCCGAAACGGAGCCGCTCGGATCTGGCCCTCCGTCTGTACACAGCAGTCAACGACACGGATGTCAGGTAAAATATTCACTCAGTTTCATTAAGATACTCTTTCGTTATTCCTAGTTATGTTGTCTTGTTTTACTGTGTTCAGTCGAAGGTTACGATCCCGAGGATTTTTGTTTCTTTATGTACAGTATTTGTTATATATTTGTGTAAATTTGATACAGACTCTTCATTTGCTTTATTAGAAACACCCACCTTGTGCTTCCACTGACTGGCCACTTTATTAGAAACACCCGCCTTGTGCTTCCATTCAGTGGCCACTTTATTAGAAACACTAACCTTGTGCTTCCGCTGACTGGCAACTTTATTAGAAACACCCACCTTGTGCTTCCACTGACTGGCCACTTTATTAGAAACACCCGCCTTGTGCTTCCATTCAGTGGCCACTTTATTAGAAACACCCGCCTTGTGCTTCCATTCAGTGGCCACTTTATTAGAAACACCCACCTTGTGCTTCCATTCAGTGGCCACTTTATTAGAAACACCCACCTTGTGCTTCCATTCAGTGGCCACTTTATTAGAAACACCCACCTTGTGCTTCCATTCAGTGGCCACTTTATTAGAAACACCCACCTTGTGCTTCCATTCAGTGGCCACTTTATTAGAAACACCCGCCTTGTGCTTCCGCTGACTGGCCACTTTATTAGAAACACACACCTTGTGCTTCCACTAACTGGCCACTTTATTAGAAACACCTACCTTGTGCTTCCACTAACTGGCCACTTTATTAGAAACACCCACCTTGTGCTTCCATTCAGTGGCCACTTTATTACAAACACCCACCTTGTGCTTCCACTCACTGGCCACTTTATTAGAAACACTCACCTTGTGCTTCCGCTGACTGGCCACTTTATTAGAAACACACACCTTGTGCTTCCACTAACTGGCCACTTTATTAGAAACACCTACCTTGTGCTTCCACTAACTGGCCACTTTATTAGAAACACCCACCTTGTGCTTCCATTCAGTGGCCACTTTATTACAAACACCCACCTTGTGCTTCCACTGACTGGCCACTTTATTAGAAACACCCACCTTGTGCTTCCACTGACTGGCCACTTTATTAGAAACACCCACCTTGTGCTTCCACTGACTGGCCACTTTATTAGAAACACCCACCTTGTGCTTCCATTCAGTGGCCACTTTATTAGAAACACCCGCCTTGTGCTTCCGCAGACTGGCCACTTTATTACAAACACCCGCCTTGTTCTTCCATCCAGTGGCCACTTTATTAGAAACACCCACCTTGTGCTTCCACTGACTGGCTACTTTATTAGAAACACCCACCTTGTGCTTCCACTGACTGGCCACTTTATTAGAAACACCCACCTTGTGCTTCCACTGACTGGCTACTTTATTAGAAACACCCACCTTGTGCTTCCGCTGACTGGCCGCTTTATTAGAAACACCCACCTTACCCTGCTGCTCAGTTGAATTAGATTATCATTTTTCCTGTTAAATATATATTCTATTGTCTGTAAATGTGAACTAGGGCTGCATGATACAGACAGAATAGTAGTACAGCGATTATGACACACCTTACAATACATTAAAAACACACTGGCGACTCCATAATGATGGATAAAGAAAATCAGAGTGTCCTGATTTTTGTTGGATTATGTGAATTCGTTGGTTCATTAGTACACCCACAGTAACTCATCTGGAGCTGCGATTGGTTTACATTGCACAGTAAACAAACACTGTGATTAGTTGGAGAGCTCATTTGCACATCGCAGCTTTCTGTGATGCATCAGTGTTTACACGGAAATGATCGAAGAGCCCATATCCTACAATTTTTGTTTTTATTTTTTTCCTCCGCTTAGGATGTTTGTGTGATTGTATGTTCCTGTTACAGTCACAATTTTTCTACAAGACCATCTTCTAACCTCTATTTATCCCTTAGAACAGAGGTCAGTAATAAGCGGACCGTTGACTGAGTCTGGACCCAGATGCTGTCCTATGTGGACCTGGACCTATAACTGATAAACTATGGAGAATTCGTTAATTTCGATGGGGTGGTCCTGTTTTAATCTGTGTAACTTTTCTAATCTTTATGGTAGCTTTAACGGCCCGGGAGACTCACAGACCAATCGCATGAGTTGTAAATATCACACATGACACTACTCAGCCAATCAGATCTGTGCATTACGATGAGCACTGAGACTCAAATGAGTGACGCACACACAGGGGAGGGACGAGGCGAGACAGCAGTCGGAGAAGAAAGTGAGTCAGAGGGAAGTTATTTCACGTCGTGCTCTAAAAAGAGAAAACCGACGATAAATGTTGTTAAAATATGACTGAACTGTACTTTATTTGATTTGATATTCAGTTGTTGACTGTATAAGATGTTGATATACCTACTAGGCTACTTCAGTAAACAGTATATGGCACTGATGATGCAAGTTAGACATTATGATGTTCCGGACCTCTGACTGAGAACATTTTCTTTAGCTGGACTTTTTTGGACTTGAATTTTAATTAAATACCCTTGCCTTAAAATTAAACAGGCTGTTTTTGTTACTATGCCTTTAAGACTGATATATGTAAATGAGCTCTGTTCTAATTGGCCGCCCTGTATTGTCTCTCATTCAAAAGCAGCCTGGGCTGAAACAGTCTTTATAACTACAAGTCAGACTTCTGCATACCGAAAAAGCAGATAAGCGTAAATGTGTTGGTTTTTGTGACATCACAACACAACGAATTAAAAATGAGCTTAGCAGCTAATTTTCCATATATGGGCTGGAGAGCGAACCGTACGTTTTGAAACTTAAGCAATGTTAAATAACTACGTTAAACTTTTTTATTTTAAAAAAGTGAGGGAAGGTCAGTTTTCCATGTTATGGGCCCTTTAACTCATTGTGCAGCTTTCAAGATGAGCTCAGTGTTAGATTCCAGCCTGCTTTTTCTTCGTTAACGTTGTGTTTATGTTTTGTTTAACAGGACTGTGGAGTCTCTGCTGCAGCAGGGTGCGGACCCTAACCTGGTTCTGGCGGAAGGTATGGCTGCTGTGCATCTGGCTGCAGGTAAAGAGTCGGAGAAAGGACTTCGCTGCCTCAAACTCATCCTGCAATACGGCGCTGACCCAAACCTCAGGTTAGTCCAGCAACCGGCAACACACAGCTCCGGAGCCCCATGCGGCTCTTTTACTGCCCTGTTGAGGCTCCACAGCTGAATCAGATTAGTAGGTAAAAATAAAATAATCCTCCTTTACAGTAAAATAAAGCTCTGCTGATCGTTCAACACAGTTTAACAATAAATGGTCTTAAACTCTGGAGTTAATGTAGAACTGCTGATTCACCCTTTAACCCTGAAGATCAGTGCAGACTGCTGGTCACCATAGCAACACAGACAACAGTCTCGCCAAGCTAGTAGCTAACGAAACGGCAAAGAGAGAGATTTAAGACGAACATTGATCATTTGGAGATGAATGCAGTTGCGTTCTGGCGCCTCAGGCACCATTTAAGGTAGGAAAATTCTAAAAGAAGCTGGCGAATGAGAAGCGACTTCAACCTCGTAAAAAATCAAACATTTTACAAGAAACCGTTCTACTAAGTTTCCTGCCGGAGATGTGAGAAAAGCAGCACATACTGAGACATATATACAGCAAAGATGGCAAAATGGACATAAAATGTTGTGGCTCCCAGGTTTGATTTTTGTTAAAAGGACAAAATGGCTCTTCTTAACATTTGGGTCGCGACCCCTGGGTTAGTCGTTCAGCAGACCAAGTCTGACCTCTGAAGTCAGAGGCGTCGAGTTTGTCACACCACCACTTTATGTATTAACGTCACACACAGACTCTAAAAGAAAGTCCGGCTCGATGTTTCGGCCTC